CTTGCCTTTGACGTGAGGACTCTGCAGACCCAAGGTTGATGAATCGAGAAGGGCTTGATTTACAGAGTCCTCCTCTGTCCTGGGAGGATATCAGATGTTGTAAGCTGGAGCTCCAAAGTGCTTGTAAACCATGTGAGCTGGTCCTGTGCCCCACCTCTGCCTAGCACCCTAGAGTAAATTTCCAAAAGGAGCAGCACAGAAAAAACATTTCTTCTCTTGGGATGCCATTAGGGGGGTTGGATGAATAACCCAGTCAGTTGCTGAGTTCTTCAAGGCATAAATCTCAAGTTCACCAGGGGAATTTCCTGCAAGCTCCCATCTCTCTGCCACTCAGCTTCCAGGGGTCTTCCACTGGGACCGGAGTGTGTTGTTTAATGATAGGAGCTTGGAGAGATAGCTCCAGTTGTCACAGCCTGGCCCTAACAACACAGACAACTGAGTTCCTACAGACTGTTTTTAGACCTTCTGCCTAGGGAGCATCGTTCTACCTCACTTCCCTGGAGCACTGCAGTGTATGACTGGCTTCCCTTACAGTCTTCCCTCCAGAATTTCTATATAAGAGGGCCCTAGATGCCTTGATATTGAAGATGGAAGCTGAGGAATTTGTCTCAAACCTCGGTTTTCATGGACCATCAGAAAAGAAACAAACATAAAAGCATGACTCATGAAAAAAAATATATTTGTTTATATCAGTGAGATACTCCCTTGGGTTTTGTGGACTTGAAATCTGGGATTTATTTTTTCTTTCTTACCATCAATCAGTTATCCTAGTTGTATTTTGTATCATTTGCTTTTGCTTCATTTCTTCCTTCTAGATTATCCTGTGACCTCATTGGCTGAGTTTAAATAAGACATACCTTGTGATTAGCTGAAATTTTTGTATGTATTTGCTGACTTAATTTGTTGGGTCTTTGGGCAAAGGTGTAGGGTAGGTAGGTTTGGCCCTGCCACTGTTCCTTGGCTCCTTGGGGTCCTGAAATGAATGCTGTTGTTTAGAATTAGCCTGACTACATCTCTAGTAAAAGCACAAAGGATCAGATTGAATCCAAAAAAAGGGAGACTTTTCAATCTCATAAGAGAGCAAGTCACTATTCCTCTCTGGATTTCCGCTTTCTATAAAATGAAGATGTTGGCTTAGCTGACTAAGGTCCTTTTCAGCTAGCTCTAGCTAACCACCCTTTCGTCCTCAGCAGATCAAGTGATGGGGCCTATTACTCAGGTTATTTTCATCTCTCCCATCTATTGATTATAATCCCAGGTTGAGTTCTTTTGAGTCTCTCCAACCTCATGTCCTCTAACCGTGAAGTAGAGACACTTACACTGGCCACAAGGATTGGCAAGGAGTCTCAGCATCTCAGGCAGGAAAGGTGATTGGCCCGTCTTTCCTGAAGAATCTCCAGAGCAGAGCTGAATAGGGAGAAAGCCACACACAAGCACAGACGGACATTTCCTTTCTTGGGAGAAGGAAAATGAAAGAGAAGCTCAAACATGGGACCACTCCAGACCAGCTGGCCCACAGCAGTGGCAGCGGGCTCCACCCACCCTCCCCATGGGATCTTGGTCACTCTCACATTTACACTATTGGAGCAGGAAGGTCTGCCAAGATCGTCTCAACAACTATAATTTTGGAGGATGATATAAGCTGTGATCCATCTTCATTAGGCTGGAAGCCACCTTTTCCTTCAATAGTTAATCCAAAGAGAATCTGGTAAACCCACAAATTCCGAGCCAAACCAGATGAAATAAACAGAGGTGGCACCTTCCCTCTAAGAGTTTATGATCTAAATTAAACAGCATAAACTCCCAATGGGGAAGTAAATCTGGACAACCTTAAAGAGCATTGAATCCACAGTCAATATTGATTATCTGGCTTTTGATGTGTTTGGAGTGGGGTGAGTGCTGTGATTTGACATGGGGCTTTGCTCTCTCCAGGAAAGTCATAATGTCCTATAAGTCAGTCAAGGACATTGCCTGGCTAGTGGAAATAGCTTACAGTGAATGATGTCGGATTTGTGATCTCCTAAGATTTAGCATCAGGACCAGGGACCAGGCTTGATCACTCAAGAGATTTTGTATAGCAGAGTTTTATTAAAGTATAAAAAGGGACAGAGAAAGCTTCTGACATAGACATCAGAAGGGGGATGGAGAGTTCCCCCCTCATTAGTCTTTAGCAAGGGAATTACATACTTTTTTAAATTAGTTATTACAATAAATCAAAAGACTATCTCAAGGTTGTAAAGATCTTACTAGACCCACTCCCATAATTTACATTTTAGGATAACAGGATTAGAACTTGACAATAGAAAGATCCTACCAGACCCACTCCCATATAATACTAAGGTATACTATATACATATATATATATGTATATATACATAGTATATAATATACATAGTATACTAATATACAAAAAAATCTAAGATATCAGAATTAGTCATAAGGTTTTCAGAAAGGAGAAACTCCTCAAGCAGGATACATTGTTGTTATATAGTCCCTAGTGCAGAGTTTAAACTGAGTTGTTTGTTGTGTAACCATCAGTTCCAGGCTTAAAGTAAAAAAAAAAAATGTTTTATGTGACAGACTAAGGAATGTAGAGAAAAAAAAAAAAAAAGACGTTTGTCCTTTCCTCCTCCTTGAGAATTCCAGACCCCTATCTCGGCTTTGAGAGCCCTGAACCCTTCTCTCCTCGGGGACTCGGGACTTCTTATCAACCTACCTAGGAACTGACTCTCTTAGTGGGAATGCTAGAAATTCAACAGGTTGACCTGGAAACTCAGGAGCCAAGGTGGTGCCCAGAGGAAGTTGAAGGGAGAGTGAATGAGCTCATTTAATGAGGACCGCATTTTCTAGAGCCTTAAAGCATGTGGTCGCTTGAACTGAGAAGCTGCTAAGTTGACTCGCTGTCTCTCATTATGCAGAAGTCTCTAGAAATCCCACTTCCTCCACTGTGCCTTTCCGGGATGCAGCCCACTGGATTCCGGATATCCATCATCAACTTACAGTGTTAGAATTCAGATGGATGTTTGAGTGCTCTCTACCTAAATTCACACTGGCCTCTGGCACGGATCTACACTTCTGTGGCTTAGTGAATTGTACCCATTGTGTCCTTTCAAGAGGCAGACAACATGCATTGTCTGTCCATAGAATGTTAGAGCAGGAAGAAGGGTTAGCTACTGCAGCCCACTCATTTCACAGATGCCGACACTCAAGTTACCAGAGACTTTGGAAAACTTGCCTTGTCAGTGACCTTGGGAACACAAATGTCGTATGTGTCCGTGTAGTGCTGGTGGTGCATGGCCTTGGGCCTGTCTTCCCAGTGCGCCCCATCTCAGCTTCCCTTCCCTGTCATGGGAAGCCTCCTCCACCACCCCCATCCTCTGGTACTCACCTCCGCACTCAAAGACTCCTGTTAAGCTCTAGCATGAAGGTCACAGAGTAGAAGGGAAAACTGGAATTCAGTACAAAGTGGAGATGAGGAGAGAGACGGGGGGAGAAAAGAAAAGGCCGCAGACAAAGGATAATTTTCTTGTGAACGTAAAGCGGGTAAGACTGACCACGTTGATTATACCAGTTCATAAAGAACTCCAGAGATGTTTAGCCCAAGGCAGCCACTTCTGAAGACTACTGTATGTTCCAACGTGCTTATGCAGAAAAGAAGTGACTATTTTAGTACTTAAAAGTATTCTAACTTTTAGCTCCCTTTTAAAAATAATTTTTTATTTATTTTTGGCTTTGCTGGAGGGATATTTGTTTCTGTGGACCCGCACGGTTGCAATGAGCAGGGACCACTCTCTAGCTGTGCTGTGTAGGTTTCTCAATGTGGTGGCTTCTGTTGCAGAACATGGACTCTAGGGTGCATGGGCTTTACTAGTCGCAGTTCCCGGGCTCTAGAGCACAGGCTCAATGCCTGTGGCTTAATTGCTCTGTGGCACATGGGATCTTCCCAGACCAGGGATCGAACCTTTATCTTCTGCAGTGGCAGGCAGATTCTTTACCACTGAGCCACCAGAGAAACCCTCACTCTTTTTTTTTTTTTTTTGAGTCTTTTTTCCTTTTGGTGGAAAGTACATTTCTCCACTAGAAGATTCAATTCAACTATAGCTGCACAATAATCTTTTCTGGACTCGAGACCAAACTAATGATGTATACTGGTCAGCCTGGTTATAATTTCAGGCCAGGAAGGGAGCATTCTTGATACTCAAAAACAACATAATAGGAGATGAAGTGATGGAAATTTCAGTGCAAACAAAGGTTAGGTCGTGCATCCTAAAAGCAAAAAATTCTTTAAGAAGTATGCCTACCACAAGATAGGATAAAGGTAGTAGTTAGTGCTTATGGAGTAGCAGTTCAGAAAGCAAAACAGAATTCAAATGCTAATGACCAATTACATGTTGCTTTGTATATTTGCCAGCTTCAAGAAAATTTGCACTAACAACTTGGCAGCAGGTGCATGCCTCATGGGATTTATTTCCTCCAAGTCATCACAAACCCTTGTCTCCTCAAAGTTCTATTTAAAGAATCTTATCAGAACACATCCAAAAATTGCTTAGGAAAGTGCAGTTTCACTTTCTACTCATTGTGGTAAGTATAACAAAAATCATGCTAAGATATTAAAGGTTTAATTGATTATTGTATAACAGTGGTTGACTTTTCTATCTCCCTGTTTGGTATTTATACATTTCATAAAGCTTTATACTGACTTGTGTACAGATATATAATTTGCATTCAGTTGATGATGGCATTTGTGTCATTTTCTAGACAAAGTTGGTCACTCAGCTGTTGGTAATGCAAGTGGCTTAGTTTTTGCTAGGAAATCTGATTCACCATCCAACAGTTTGACTTATGGCAACCTTGCCAGGAATGAAATCAGTGAGAGCAAGACTGCACTGTTTCTTCCCGGGTCAGTAGAGACTTGTTGTTTTTAATGGACTGTGTGTAGGACCCAAGGATGTGACTCATCTATCCACTTAGGAGTCATAAAAGTACACGAGCAACTCAGCTTCAGTCATAACATTCATTGTTCAGACCAGATTGAAGGTGCATTGTCAGGCAGTTCTTGTGATTTAAGAGGAACCTAGGCCTTGGTGCCCAGTGAACAAGCAGAATGTCTATAAAGTTCAATATACCATTAATGTCATTAGCATAAATGTTTCCCGTTGTCATAGGATAGATGTGCTGAATAGTGGGTTATAAACTGGACATCATTGAAATCCCCTTCTGAGGTCTTCCTGCCATGAAGAAGAGAAGCTGGTAGCTGCATTTCCAGGCACCTCTTCTCTGCCTGGCTCCAGGAGGCAACATCCTATGAAAGGCACTTAGGAGGAAAGGGGAGCAGAAGAAGGAATTATTATTCTCCAGAGGCAGATGGAAGCAGATACATAGAGAAATGCAGGTTCAAACTGCATTAGGTAGATTTTTTGAGAATCACCTATGTTATGCTACAGGCTGAGATGGCTGGTGGAAGTATCTCAGAGATTCATAAGTTTTGTAGTTTCCCAGGTCAGCTCTTGGAGATCACATGTTTCAATGTCATAGGTTGAGAATGCTTATGATGACCTTCTTGATCTTTGCTATCCCAGTGGTTGCGTAAGCCTTACTTTCTTAAAACTATTAATACTTGTGGGGCATAGAGAGTGGTTTCTCTTTTCCTAATAAAACCATGACTAATACAATAAGTTGGAGAAGAAAATGGCAACCCACTCCAGTATTCTTGCCTGGAAAATCCCATGGATGGAGGAGCCTGCCAGGCTACAGTCCATAGAGTTGCAAAGAGTCAAACAGTCAAACTGAGCCAACTTCACTTCACTAATACAATATGTAGTTATTAAAAACATTTAATACAAAGTTAGGGAAAACAGAATGCAGAATGGATGAGAGAAGTATATTGTGTATAGGAACACCTCTAAAGGGAATCTAATCCAGAACTGGGGATGGGGGAGAGAGACTTCTTGAGAAAATGGCCTCCAAGCTGAGACTTGCCGGATAAAAATGGATTAGGTAGTCAAAGTGCACAAGGTTGGGGAGACGGAGGTTATCTTATATTTGTGCAAAGACCCTAAGGCCAGAAGGGCCTCAAAGAATGTTGGGGGTGGCGATAGGTGGTGAAAGCTAAGAGCAGTAGAGAGATACTACAGGATTTTTAATTGTAGAGTTTATGATTTCAGATGATCACTCTGGCTGTGGGGTCAAGAATGGAAATTCAAGAGAGCAAGATTAAATGTAGGGAAAGTTATAGGTGGCTGGCTTTAAGGGTTCATACACGAGATGTCCATACCTTGGAGCTGGGAACTGGCAGCGGGGACAGAGAGCTGGTGGCAGAGACAAGAAATGTTTAGTAGATGCCTGGACGGGTTAGAGAATGGGAGAAGTCAAGGATGACTCATTTTACATCTACGGAAACTGAAGCTTAGAAGGATTATACAGCTCACCTCAGGTCACATAGCTGGAAGCAGTGGAGTCAGAATTCAGACCTTAATTTTTCTGACTCTGGAGCTCTTGCTTAACTAAGAGCTCTATAGCATACAAATAAGAACACAGTCACAGATGGTCAATTTTTAAAAAATAATTAGAATGAGGACCTTGTGGCCCATAAGGTTAAAGGTAGCATATGGGCTAAATGCCGGGTTACACGTGAGATAATGCCAGGTTCTCTTCATCTCCTTTTCTCTACGACTTCCTAGTTGATTTACCTTATTTTCATAAGTTTTTCCTCTGTGTTTTACAATGTTGCAATTAAAAGAAAAAGAATGGGGAAATATTTCTCCTTCTCACTTAAATTGTGGTTTCAACTAAAGGAAAACCAAAAGGTATTTCTATTTCATTGTTTTAAAGTACATAAATCTGTAACTTCGGAAGTTCAAGAGGCTAAAAACCATAACCGGTTGTCGTTATGGTTTGTTTGCTTGCCAAAATGACTAAGATAATGTGTAAGGTTGGGAAAGCACTAAAATAATTATCCCATCCTGCTCCCAGACGCCCACCTCTGCTGTTATACTGTCAATGTCTTAAACAAGTCCCAAATAGTTGGAAGCAAATACCAACTTGCCCAGAGTTCTGACTCCTATTTGTTACTGAGTCTTGGACCTCTGTTTCTAGAACAGACCTCTTTGCTGAGCCCCAAATAGAGGAAATACTCTCAGTCGAATGACTCAGGCTCCTCAAAAGTTCTGTGTTCCAACAATCTAGCTGTCCCAAACAACTTCTCTTCCCAAAATCTTCACCACCCATGTCCACAAAACCAGACACTCCAGAAGTTATTCTGGACTCACTTCTTCCCTATTTCTCACGTTAAATCAGCCACTAAATCTGATGATTTACCTCTTAAATATCCTTTTATTTTCTCTTTTCCTCTCTACTTTCACTGTGTCTGCCTTAATACAGGACAGCATTTCCAAATTCCTGACAGATAATAATTTTTGTGAGGCAGAAACAAGAAATTGGAATTCCTAGGTATTCCCCAAATCATAATTTATTCTGTATTTTTCCATAACACTTTAGTTATATGTTTTTAAATAATAAAAATTGGCCACAATAATGAACAATGAACAGTTTTTCTGTGATAGGGTTATACTAGATATTTGAAAAGTTTTCTGTAAAGAAGAAAATATATAATAAGTTGTTGACTATTACTATTTGCTGTTGTTGTTCATTCGCCCAGTCATGTCCCACTCTTTGCGACCCCATGGACTACAGTACGCCAGGCCTCCCTGTCCCTCACCATCTCCTGAAGCTTTCCCAAGTTCATGTCCATTGCATTGGTGATGCCATCCAGCCATCTCATCCTCTGATGCCCTCTTCTACTGCCCTCAGTCTCTCGCAGCATCAGGCTATTATTATGTGATCCAAAATACTGGAACAAAATTATTTGTTTCAGTAACATGTAAAAATTACATCTACCTAATATGGACATTTGATGAGAAGATAAAATTAAGGGTTTCCTCAATGGCTCAGTGGGTAAAGAATCTGCCTGCAATACAGGAGAGATCCCTGGATTGGGAAGATCCCCTGGAGGAAGGAAAGGCAAGTACTCTTGCCTGGAAAATCCCATGGACAGAGGAGCCTGGCAGGCTAAAGGCCAAAGGGTTGAAAAGAGTTGAACATGACTGAGTGACTAAGCATAGACACACAGAAGATAAAATTAAAAGGGAACATTAACACAAAATAAATTTCAAGTAAAAAACCATTTTAAAAATCCAAAGATAATATCACAAATATTTAAGACTTAAAAATTACTCTTAAAATTACAAATCACATAAGCATGAGTCTTGCAGTCCAACAGTGAAATCTTAGTTTCAAGATAAGCACTCCAGATGCAGAAATATGTCTTTCATCTTTTGTGAGGTTCATGGAATTGGTTGGTTGAGGGTGTGTTCAAAAGCACCTTCAAATTGAATGATTAGTGAGTATGTTGCTTCAAATCAGATCATTTCCTTTTTCAGTAACAAGAATATTTTGTCTGTTTGCCCTGGTTTTTGTTTCGCCATTGAAATAGCCATTGATTTTTTAAATTCAAATTTTAGATCAGACTCTGATCTCTTAGATCATTAAATAGCAGCCTTAATCTGCTTTTCTCATTGTATGTATTTTGTCAAAATATTTGCAAAGAACTGTGGCTTTGGGTGTTTAAACACTAGAAACACCAATGAACATTTAGTAAGATTCATATCCTCTAATAAGGTAAACAGAACTTCACAGAATTATTTGCCAAAATTGCCCATGTAGAGACTTATTTTGGCTTCCAAAACTTGTTTCTTAGTACACACATACAGAATCTGTATAAAGTAAGCAATATGTATAAGCATATTAGTATTTATTTTATTGGCAAGAATGACATTATGATTAGCAGACAGGACCGTGAAAACATTTATACCAGTGCCACTAGCCAGATCAAGGCTGAGTGCTTGTCTCTTTCCTGATGTTCCTCCCCTGGTTCCCAGGGACACCAAATTTAATGTTTAGCTCTGAAGCCCACTGTTCCTGGCTCTAGCCCTTGCCTTGATGTTGAGTCGATTCCTTTGAGCCAGTAATGTCCCTATGTTAATAATTAAGCTCTAATTCTTACTGGGAAATTATAATATTTTCGCTCATTTTTCTGATTTCTCAACTGATTATGATTCATGTTTTTTTTAGGCTCAGAATTTAGCTCCAAACTGGAAACAATCCAAATGCTTATTTGGATACATAAATTTGTGGTATATTCATGCAATAGAATAATAGTCACAAAAAGGAACATGAATGAATCTCAAAATCATTGTGCTAAATGAAATAATACAGGCAAAAAAGTGTATAGTGTATGATTCCATTCTATTTCATTCCATTCTATAGCTAAGTAATATTCAATTGTATGTATTGGAGAACAACATGGCAGAGGAGTCGCCATGTAGAGTAGACGTAGAGTACATCTCTCTCCATGGACACAGCAGGAATACACCTTCAGACACAGAAGTGCATGCAGGACACCAGCTGGGAGCTGACAGGAGTACCTGACCAGCGGAAAAGAATATATAGAACAACACAAAACTCGGTAGGACTAAGGAACTAGGGGGAAAAACAGGAGTGTTAGTAGGACTGGACCTGCCCTCAGTGGGTGGGGGAACTGAAGCAGGGGTCTGATCCCCACATCAGGGCAATTGTCTGAGTCAGAGGAGAAACGTTTAAGGTTGAGAGTCAAACAACTAATCTGCGGCAGCCTCAATGGAATGAGAATCAGACAGTCCTTGCCACAGCCATACATAACCTGGACAGGGACCCAAGTCCCGTGGAAGGCGCAGTGGCTGGGAGCTGGAGTTTAGGGATTGTGGAGCAATCCCAGGGCGAGGGCTGCTGTTGACTGTGGAGAGATGGATTGAGGGGATGGGAGGGAGGAGATTGGTATGAAAAATGCTTGTGGAGGAATGCTGGGCAGCCATGAAAGCAAGGCGATACTGCTGAGTCACACCTAGAGGGTAGAGCCATCACCATAGCCTCTCTCTCCCCACACGCCAGCATAGGCAGCTGAAGAATAAAGAGGCTTGCCCATCAAGAGCCTGACCCACTGGAGTACAGAGCAGGAGCCCACCCAGGGTGCCCCTTTATGTGCCTCACGCACCAATCTACAAAGTAGGACCCCAGCCAGGACAGCCCCTCCATGTGCCTGATGCGCGGAACCACAGAGAAGGACCCCAGGTAAGGGAGCCCTCTAAGTGCCTGAAGGGGCAGAGCTATGGAGAAAGACTGGTCAAAGAGGCCTTCTGATCGCCAGCTACAAGAGGCTTGAAAAGACTCTGATAGGGCCATAACTCCTGGGGTGGAAGCAGTCTGTGTCCCTGCACACTT